TGATCGGTGAAAATTCAAAAATAACAGGTGTAAATTCCGAATAGTCAGGATCAACAAACGACACTTAACATATATATCATTAAAAATTGTCGCTTGTGCATATATAATTTGAATTTTTTTTTTGAAACAGCCTCTGATAACATAGCTTTGAAACATCCTCTAGCAATTTAAAATTATGTCAAATAGGATAAAACTACCTCTGAATGTTTGAAACAATCTCCCACCACTTACTAAATTATAAAATTTAAAGCAAGAATAATGAGATAAAACATAATATCAAAAGAAAGAATTTAATACACAATTGAAAAAAACTATGAAGGATAGATAATAATTTCATCAAAATAAACAAAAGGTACTTATGATACTTTCCAATAACTAATGATGGTTCGAGAAACTGAACTCTGATATATTGATCGAAATAATGATCTGAATCTGTCTATGTCAGTTTCGTACAATTTGTTGTAATTGGTTAGTTTCCAACATTAATGTCTATCAATTTGGCTAAAATTTTTTGGATTTTTTTAGTCAGTCAGCACTTCAGGCAGCCTTTTTTTATATCTATTTACGAGTATAAGCACTACTATTAAGTAGAACTTCTTGTTGAACTTCTATGAAGCTTTCTAACCACAATTGATTGTCCCATCCAAATCACGTTTAGTAAAATTTAACTGATAATCTAAGATCTTCTCTTTGATTTGCTTAGTCTCTAATTTTAATCTACTATCGTCTTTAGCTAGGATCGAAGTAGTTAATTTTAATCTACTATCGTCTTTAGCTAGGATCAAGTAGTTAATCCTTCTATTTTGGTTTATTACCTAAACATAAATAGCCAAGGATATTTTAAACTTGTTAACATTCGTTCATAGTCCTTGTTTTGCTCAATACTTTCAATACTAGCTCTCTTTCCAAAATGACATAAAAATAATAACTCATTTGCATTTACCATCGTTGGGGTTTCAGAATTAAATAAAATCATGAGCTATTGATTTCAAACCTGAAAAGTTTATATATTGTAAAATCGAATTTCAATGTATTTCATTTTCTGATTTTTGAAAATTAGAAATATAAATCAGAATTTTTTAAATTCCTTTTTATTTCCAAAATAAGTTGATTATAGAACTGCATCATATTTTTTTAACGCATCATTATTAATCATGATAGTATTTATAAATTATAAATTAACTGCAAGCGTTAAAATAATACGTACATATCAGGGTTTGCAAGTTCCGGTAATTATTAAACATAGTCAGGAACTGCCATGAATGAGCCGATGCTCAATACTGCACATGACGGTATTTGCAGAACCTTACATTAAGTAAGAAGTAGAATCATACTTTTACTGGAGATGAAAACATATGAATTCGATTATAATATAAATAGTACGTACTAGAACATGATCATGAGGAGGCGGTTTTGCTAGCTGTTTTATTATTGTCACATTGGAACTGAAGTTAGAATTATCAAAGACTTCCAATATGGATGGGCCAAAAGAATCTTCTAGGCTGAACAGTGCTGCAAAATGGAATTTGATTGAAAAGGATAAACATCATTACTGCATTATGATTATATGGACGATGTTGATAAATTAGACATTATCTTCATGGAATTAGATCATTATAAGCTTTAGCCAAGATATTACTAATTAAGTCATATCTCATCGAGTAAAAGTTGGTCTAGGTGAACTACAGAATTTTAGGATTCTTGTTGTGCCGTTAACCTATCTGGTGATTTCATCGGTTGAATAATGAAAATATATTTATTATCTACCTTATTATTATTAAAATTTATCGTACGGGTCATATGTAACAACCCGTGCGAATAAGTTATTTTCGTAAAAAGCTAAAACAAAATTCGTCTTTTACTAAAGACTACGTAACTATAAATTATTATTTGTTGGATGAAGATTAATGTTAGGTTAGTTTTTAAAATTCTCATTTCTGAACGAAGACTAATACATGTATTATGTTGTGGTTTTTTAAATTTAACAATTTCTGACAAAGACTAATCATATATGTATTAAATTATGTAGTTTTTAAAATTCTCATTTACTGGCAAAAACTAATATATCTATTAAATCGGGTGGTTTTTTAAAAATTCTCATTTGCTATGCGAAGACTAATATTAAGTCGGGTAGCTTTTAAAATTCTTATTTGCTTACGAAGATTAAAGTTAGGTTTGGTGGTGTTTTAAAATTCTCATTTGCCGGACGAAACCTAATATTAGGTTGAACACTTTTAAAATTCTTATTTATTGGGCAAAAACTAATATTATATTCAGTGGTTCTTTAAAAATTTCATTTGTTGAGTGAAGACTAATATTAAGGTGGGTGGTTTTTTTATAATTCTTATTGGCAGGCCGAAGATTATATTAGGTCGAATAGTTTTTTAAAATTTTCATTGTTGGGCGAGGATTAATATTAATTCAAATGTGAAACCAGTATGTTTTTCATAATTTAGAAAAATATTATTTATTTCTAAAAAAGCAAATTTATTACAATGCCTTTCGCTTTTATCTATTACTTGATACTTTGGAACGAAAACTAAGCTCAAATGTGTCAAGTTTCAAAAGAAAAAATAATTAGAAATAAAAAATGTTTAATTAAATAGGTTGTTTAAAAGAAGTGACGCACAGGTTGTTAACTATAATATATAATATGCAAAGTTTAATATATTTTAACTTAATTATGTACTGTACCATTATGAAGTAATTTAATTATATGGCTACGATATTATATGTTTTGTTGTTTAATTATAAATAATGTAACGATATTTAAAATCATCTTAATAAAATAATTTAATTGCATGATGTATATAATACATGCTGACTGTGTTAAATGATCATGTCTTAAATACTTATATATTTGTACTTACATATAATATTTGTCTTCTAGCCTTAAATAAATAAAGATCCATTTTGCTATCGATAATTTATCTTTCTTTACAATGTGGGAGAATGAACACGTAAGACTTTTGGTGGATGAACGTAAGCAGAGAAACGAAGAATACCACTCAATTAAAAAGAAGAAACTCTTCTGGGATAGCGTCTCTGAAACAATAAACGACCAATTTAATACGTCTTATTCAGGAAAACAATGTCATGAAAAGTTTTTGCTGCTGGTTCGAGAATTCAATGTAACTAATTTTAAAGATAATTATAGTATTATTTATTTATTTATTTTTTTTGTATTTGCTAATAATTTTATTTTTGTTAGCTAATGGTGGTGGTAAAAGTACCCGCTGTGGTCGAATGTATTTTGATGAATTTCGGTCGTTGTTTTGGTTGCCTCCGAGTATGTACTTAAATTCATTATTCTTAAATAAATTTTTTTACATTTAATATATATTTCGATTATTATTAAAATAATTATTATATTACAACCTAGATCATAATAATTAAATCATGATAACAGCTATACACAATACAATGCATCATGAAATCGCTCATTCATAGCTATCTGAATACATTACATAAAGAAATCGTTTCTGTTTTTTAGTATTATTTACTAAAAAAAATTTGCAAATAAATCGTGAGAAATTTATTAAGATACGCAATGCTAATATGTTCGATATGTTATAAAAAAACCATTTACTTTGAAGACAATATTAGTAATGTTATTCAATAAAAATTATTTTATAAAAAGAGTTTGCTAAGTATTTTTGAAAATGTTTCGAATGAGCTGCAGATATATAAAGTTAAAGTAATTGGTGTTCAATTTATTTTATATATATATCTGTGACCATCCCGTCACTGGTTTTGCATATCAATGTTATGGTTCTATAAATCCATAAATGTGCGATTAATAATCAAATTTATTGTATTTTTAAAATCAAATTAAAATTACATGATTTGTTTTTGAAGCTATGAATAAAATATCTAATTCTAACAATTACTAAATTTATTTTTTATTTCTGTATCCTATTATTCTTTGATAATATTAATCATTCCATCAACACTCACATATCAGCAAAGTTTTAATAATAAACAAACACTTCCTAACACCAATTCTGTAAGGATAGCAATTTTCAAGACAATTTATACCGCCCATACTATAATCATGGTAGAATTAATTTATAAATTAATACTGTTATGACAAGTGATGTATTCTTTGCCGTAATTAAATACTATAAGTCGGTGGTGTTATAAATACTAACGGGTATGAATTGATTCCACCAGCTAATTAGAGAGAAGTTGTTACAAAAATTTTCATTTTTCTTGTGCACATAATTTCTTTATTTTTCTATCTCAAGTTAAGTTTAAGGGTAGGGTGTACGTAGATCATTTTTCATATGATCTGCATGGTAGATTGGATTTTTACATAGTAAAGAAAAA